AAAATTCTGTTTGCCACTTTGGCCATTGCAGTGTTACAAATGATGTTTTCAGAGAAGTGCCCAAAGCAGTTCAAGATCTTTTTCCTAAGTGAAAATAGCTCACCCCTGTGTACAGATGAGTTAGGGTTGGTTGGGTTTTTTTTCCCCTCATTTACATTATTTCGTATTTACTGACACTGAATTTATCTGCCATTTTATTGCCCATTGATCAAGGCCTTTGAATCTTTCTGCAGCTCTTCAGCCAGCTGTAGATTTGACTGTCCTTATTGACTTCCTGTTGTTCGCAAACCATCACCTAGCTACTCAACGTGTTTTTCCTAATCTTGCCTGAATATGCTGAATAGCAGTGAGAAATAGAGAATCTGTCTTGGCAGAGCACATGAAAAGAGGAAATTTTATCTGACTTAGCAACTAAAAGCCAAGACACAATTTAACAGTAAAAAGGCATGAGAGAGGATTTTGACTTTAGGACAATGTTAGTGCAAGAACAAATGGATATATACCTGTCTAGAAATGAGTGAATCGATTCTACTGCTTTAGTCAAGCACTGAAACCAAGATGCTCAGTTCATTAAAAAGACTGAGCTGATCAGCACCTGGAAGGCATTATGCAATGTACTGACTACAACAGATGGAGATGGCACCCAGTGACCAGCATTTTCATTTCCTGTCTTTCTGTATTAGTCATGGCTACTTATCACAGCTCAAATACTAGTACCTGTTTAGTGCCTCAGAGCAGGAACAGTGTTCTGGAGGTCATGATACTAGAGCTGCCATTATGTATGTACATACATACCTATGCATGTGTGTGTACACACACGTGTGTGTGTGTGCGCGCGCGCGCGCGTGTCCCTGGCAAATCACATCACACCTCTGTGCCTCAGCCTCTTGCCTGAGCAAAGGAAATACTTCTCTTCCCTACCTCTTACCTCTTTCTCTTGTATTCACTCACTGCAGTACAGTGCCTTGATATCTCCTAACAGGAAATGCTTCCCCAAATAAGAACTATTCATTATTACTTCATTATTCAAATATGCAGTTTACCTTTCTGACGACTCCTTCAGTGCCTTCAGCTCAGCTGTCTGCTTCTCTTTGGCTAACTCTATTATCTTGGTAACTTGCTGTTCAAAGGATCAAAACAAGATCAAAAGCAAACCAAGATGAGACACAGCACCCCATCAATGTTTAATTACCACCAGATTCAGTTTCATCCCTCCCTGCACTGAATTCCAGGGGCCAGCTAATCCGGCTTTGTACAAAACTGTGCACCTTGTCAGCAAGTTATCACATGCACGCAGCTCAGACCATAGTAGTGGACAGATTGCACCAAGGCTCCAGAAGCAGCTCTGTGAGCCATGTCACACCTCTTGATTATGCTTCCTAGTGCTCTGCTTTTGTGGGAGGCAGCAACAGATTCACTGTACCTGTGGGCAGATGGGAATGAGCAGGGCAGCCTACCTTATAAAGAACAGAGGCTAACAAGATGACGGGGCCTTCTGTCCTGTGGAAACAATGCCAAGAGGACATAGGGTTTTCTTGAAAGGGGCCCACACCTGTAACGTGGCATATATATCCAATTCTCTTTCTCACATGGCACCTCACTGGCAGAGCAAGTATCAGTGTAGTGAGACCTCTCTGCACTGCTGCCTGCTGAGCAACAGCTTTAAAGAAAAAAATCCTGACTACAAGACTAAGTGCTGTGCATTGAGAATTCAGCTTTTGATTTCCTTTTTGGAGCCTTACTCACTAGCTCTCACAACCTTTGACAGTATTCCAAGACAGGAATGTTTTATTCCTTTCATTTCTTTGTCTGGTGATAAGCATGGGTGTTCCAGGTAAGCTAGCTGTCAAGAGGCAGTTGGTTATTAGCTGGGTCAGTATGGGGTTGACCAGCCAGTCTTGCAGAAAGCTTGCAAGGTGCTGTCAACTGCACCAGGGAGCCTAAAATTTTAAGACATATGCTGCAAACTCCTCTGGCAAACTATGACACAAAAAGGCCTCCAACTCCTGGAATCATCCCCCTTTCATTGGAATGGATGACATGTGAGCATCTTATCATCAGCATCTATGGACTGCAATTTGTCTTCAGGCATTACTGTGTCTTTTTCTATTGTTTGCTCAAGGTCGTGGATCTGAGGGTGTGGGAAACACTGATGCACTTGTAGGACTGGCTGGCTGGCAATACCCTATGTGGGCACCTACTTCAACTTCCACTAAGTCAAACAGAAAAGCTCTTTCCAGCTTCCAAGAGGAATGAGATCCAGCCCTACTGTCAATGTTAAGGGGTATACCTAGGAATCCTGTCCCTCTCAAGGCTTCCAGTCTTTTAACACTGATGTAGCAATGGCAAGTACTGAACTTCGTGGGTCAGCTTCATTCCCATGTATCACCTGTCCTGGTTGAATGACAGCAGTGAGTGTGGCCATGCTAAGGCATGTTTGTGACACTCTGATGGTTGCCACTAGTGAACCTGCAGGGCTTCAAGGTATCTGTGTGTCACCCTAGCTCTGACTGTGCAGCTTCTAATAACCAGCTGTGAGAAGCATGGTGCAGCCTGATGTACCCATGCTCCTAGACAGCTGGTATACCTGGCAGCATACACAGCTACTACATGCCACGTTAACTGCAAGCTGCGCTAGCAGACGAGTTTAAGCAGGTAGAGTCTGATGTGCTCCAAGCTTTTTCAGGAGGCAGACCCTTAAAAATATTTGTGCTGGATTTTTGTGGTGTCCGGTCTAACAAATAAGCATCACTGCCAACAGACATTCTCTTCTCAACTATCTTGCACGGACCTGGCAATTACTCTGGTGGGTATTTTCTGCCTGACCTGTGGCCACATTTCTGAACTCCCAGTTTCAGTGAAGAGGAACCTGGTTTAAAGGCTGTCCTTGCCGAGCACTCCTAGGCTCTCTCTTCTGTGGACGCACGCGGTCTTACCTCTGTGGCATGCTGCTCTTTCTTTTTTCGAATCCCATCATGGTGTTCCTCCCCTAGTTGGATGAAGTCCATCTCCAGCCTGTCTCTGAGCTCCAAAACTTGGCTTTCAATGCTTTCTGCCGTTTCTACAGGATTTGCCCATGTACCAGCGTCATCTGTTGTCATACTCCTGCAGAAGATACAGCAGCTGTGCTGCTTCTAGAGATGCCGATACATTCCTGACCTTCCTACCAATCTCTCAATGGGAGCATCTGACGCTCTGCAAACCCAGGGAGATGTGGCTGTCCACACCACTCCATGCCCCTCTCAGAGAAGAGGCGCATGTTGCTTTCAGGCATTTGAAGAAGGCCCCTCCTTGGGTTTGGGGAAGTGTCCCACAAACCAGCTAGCCCTGCTAGAGACCTGTGCTGTATTTACCTCTTCTTTTTCTGGGTTTTCCCAGGGTGTATCATCCTTTTCTTGCCTCCATGGCATATAGGTTCTGAAAAGAGGACGGAATATCTTTGCAGGAGCTCATCCTTGCGTTTGCTTGCCTTCCGCTCTAGCTCCTTCAGTTCCTTCTCCTGCTTCTTCAGCAGCTTCAGAAAGAGCTTCATCTGCTGCAGTTCTTCAAGGCTGGCCGTCTGCGGCTCTAAAATAGAATACAAAGACAGGTTGTCTTCCCTCACACAGTATTTCTCACTGCTGTGATGCCTTCTGGGGTCAAATAGATAGGTTTTTTTCAGTGCTGCCATCACTCAGATTTACTTCCTCTTTTCAGCATTACACCACAGTTCAGTTCAGCAACCGGTGGATGTCTGGCTTAGGGACAGCCAGAAGAATCACAGCATTTTGGTGTTTTAGCCCTCGTAATGTGGCAAACACACTGGGACACTTGCCAGATTACAAGGAGAGGTGCTTTGATCCCGTCTAGTTTTAACAGCTATTCCCTCAGTTGTGAAGAAGGAATGAAAGGGCTTTTCAAGTAGATGAAAATCTGGGGGGAAGGATTCCCATGAACTATTGGAGAACTTGTTATCCAGCGGTAGCAAGTGAGTAAGATGTGGTTATCTGTGGCTGAAAGGCCACAGGGAGTTATCTTTTCAAGGGAAATAATTTTTTCCCCTTGGTTTGGAATGTATAAAAATTAACGGAACTTGTGGGTGTGTCTGCAACACAATGCTGTGCTGTGCAGGGTCAACTACTTCTACAGTGCTCACAGTGAGGAAATGCACGCATACAGCTCAAAAGCAAGTCAGTAACGTGTCTAGATTTGAAAATCAGAGCCTGCTATGCATCTTAATTATGTGATGCTTCTTGCAAGAATACATATTTTATGTAATCATACTTCTATCATGGGGAACATTTTTATTTATGAATAGCTTTTAAAAACAAACTTGCTGCACATAAGAGTTATTTAGCAACATATCCCGAGGGCAATTGGTTTGTTCTTGTGACTTCAGTTCAGTTCTGTGGCATATTTAGGCACACTGGCTATTAGTACTTTGTATTGATTTGTATCATATTGCATTAAGATACAGAGAAGCAGGTGAACAATACATTATTAGAGATTGTTCAGTCCCCATATGTGCTGAAGACTCCCTGCGGCCACATTAACTCTGGTTTCGGCAGGGTAAATGAACCATCAAATCTGGCCAAAGCAACTCCTATCATAGCTCTAGCCTCCTGACTTGCTATAAAGTCGACTTGCTGCAGTGTTTCTGCCACCAGAAGCCTCAGAGGGCTAAGGCTGCAGCAGTCTGAAGCTATTCTGACCTACATGTGCTGATGGCAGTGGCCTAGCTGTGCTTGTATAAGGGATGGACCAAGGCAGCTCTAAGCCCCTTGAAACTCGCTATAAGCTCAGTTCCAGCATGAGAGCTGACCACGCACCATAGTGGTGGTTGAAATGGGCAAATGGTGCCTTAGAGAGGGAGACCGAGCCCAAGGATTCATGTAGTTTGTCCTCTTTGCCAGCTACGGCCGTCAGGGTTGGTTTGGTATTTGTTAATTTACAAACCAGGCTTCCCTATTCCAGTTGGAAATTGAGCAGACAGGTGGCGTAAGACAACTCACATGGCTGCAGCCCATATGAAAAGCATGAGTGGGGTTACCTGCAATTTCTGTCGCTTCTTTCACATTTTCATCCTTGGCCAAAGCTGCTGCTCCTGAAATCACAAAGGAGGTTCCTGTTTATATTCTATCTTGAACTGTTGGGTTGAAAATGGACAGTGGAGAGCTCATCAGGAACATGGGTCACTGGATAGTTGTTAGTGTGAACCGAAAGGAATTAATTAAGCTACTGAGATGCTCAAGTGCTTGGGAACTCTGTTGTCAGGTGCAACAGAAATGGGAGCTGGAAGAATGGCATTTGGTTTGTATTAATTGGATATTAAGTTAGTGATGATTTGGCATGTTAACTGTTTTAGACTAGGTGATTAGGATTTTCTGGCCTGAAGCTTGAGAAAAAGGACTATTTTGATACTAAGGTATTTGAAAGGACACTGTAACCAGTTAATAAGGAAGAAATACTGATTAACTGTCAATTAATAAAAAATAGAATAGAATGAGGTAATCTAAATGAACGATGGGGGACATGCTCCTACTTGACTTGAAGTTAATCTATCAATTAGGATTAGAAGCCTGTTTGAGGATGGCTATTTCTAGCACTTTCACCAATACTAAATCTTTAATATTTGTTGGTTATTTTGTTCTGCAAGGCCAAGAAGAAGCCAGTATGAAAGGAGTAAACAAACTGTTAGTGAGACCTCTGAACCTAGTAGTAAATGCTGACTTTGTCTCTTGATTTCTTTTCAAGTAAATCCATAATTTTTTCTCAATTCATGTGACTGGTCACAATTAAACAGTGTTTGCCCTTGTTAACTGGTCCCCATTTAATCTAATGGTCAAAACACAGGACTGTTCCATTCCCACTCTTGCAGAATGCCAGATGTAGGATCTTTTCACTCTGAAATTGTAAGAGATCTTATAAAGAATTTGGGGTTCAGCTGAGCTGATTAATTAACAGTCTTTAAAGCCCCCCCAAATATTATACAACAGGACTCTGGTGCGAGTGCAGTTTCATATAGCCCTCTGGGACCTTTCAGGGGGATTTGAACATACTTAAAAAGTCAGATGTAGTCAACAGTGATTTACAGAAAGAGACTCCTGAAAAGAGTAACAGATGTGAGGAGCAGTGAGGCATTATGGAGCAAGCCATATTTTAAAACCTTTCTCTCAAAAACGTCCAGAAGCTTTATGTCTTGTTCAAAATCAAAGTCCAACCTGCAATTTCATATGTAAGGTGAAAGGCTACATCTCTGCCACACAAGCAAGGTGGTGCTTCAGAATTTCCTCCTGTAGGATGGCTACAGAAGTAGAGCAAATCTTTGGATACTTGCGTGGCAATTCAGCCAGTTCCAAAAAGTTTAAAACCTATCTTTAACTACAACAGCTGATCTTTTTGTCACTGATACTATAGAGAATAATACAGGAGAAGCTCAGATAATAGATCAGAGAAAAAGGTAGTTGAAGATGAGTGCTTGGAGTCCAGTATTTATTTCTGAAGGGAAACCGATTTCAGTTACCTCAGGTTGGAAGCTATACTACAGCATATGTCATGGGCAGCCTGGTAGTGTGGGTATGGATGATGGTAGAACAGTTATAGAACCAGACCTAATGAAGGATCTCTAGATAACTGCAAGGAGGAGAGCAAGAAAGCAAAGGTAGTAGACCTATCATGCTTGTCTGCGTGTACATTTCTAGCAGGACCTAAAGTATTTTCTAAGACAAACTACTACTTCCTTGGATGGCGGTTCCCTCTTAACATTACCCTCCCAGATAACTTAGTACTGAATATGCAAAACTGAAGTCCTCTGTCAGAGTCCTCAGCATAGGAAACAGCAATACTACCCAAATATGAATTAACTCTGCCTTGGAGGTGAAAGATGATGTTCATGCCAGTTGGGTCTTCGACTCGTTTCTTGGCATTCTCAGTAGATACCTGAGATTACTTTTTTATTGTGACGTAAAATAAGTATACACACCCACACCAGGCAACGAGAACCAGGGATACCTACAGCTTTCATCATTATTGACAAGCACCAGAATTTAAGATAATGACTTGGCTGAAGAGGTCCTGACCCTATTACTAGGATATCCTTCTAGCACTGTCTCTTTCCAGCCTTCTGACTGTTCAGGCTTTCACGTCTACTTTTAGCTCATCCCCAATCCACAGCTTTACCTGGAGGTCCATTTGAAAAAGTGTTGAATTTCCCGGTGGAATCTGGTATCCCATTAGTTTCAGCAGATGGGAAGTTCCTGTGTGTTTCAGGTCTCTAAAACAAAGATCAGAGGTAAATCAAGGCACAGCAAATGGAATTGGAGACTAACAGATTAGTGACCAAAAGTCCTAGCAAAGACATCCAGAGAGCTGGCATATGCTTCCTCCATTATTGAACTCTTAAGAAATTTGTCTGGCTTTCAAGTGTATCACATTGCTAAGTTCCTCTGTTCAGGGGCAATGGTGTTAACCTACTCACTGGTAGAAGGAGCTTCAGCAACGTATGAAATACCCTCAGAAGTGTCTTCCGCAGCTGTTGGTCTCTGATACTTTCTATCTCTACACAGAAGGCAGGCCTCTATCTGCCTCTGTCTAGAAAGAGTAAACAGACACATCCATTCTTGGACAGCCTTGTTCCAGGATAGTGGGAAAGTCTCTTGACACTCCTCTGTATTATTTCAGGTGGAATACATGCAGCATGTTTGAGAGAATATGACAGAACTCAGAAAAACTCACCTTCACCGAGCCATCTTTTAGCTTCACTGATCTCTTGTCTTGAAGACTGAAGAACTTAATTGGGTTGGAGAGAGCAATAGTCAGATCTACAAAAAAGAGGAAGTCTGGATTATCAAATAATTCACTGCATTTTGGTTTTCCTTGTCTTCTGGCTTCCTTTTTGGCCCAAGACAGGAAATTGTGGAGAAAGGTTGTTTTGAATTCTCTCCTTCTAACAGGTTTCTCCTTGATAGCATAAAAAGAAGGGACTGTCTTTCACCATAGTCCTGTTCTGAGGTGACAGCTCACCAATGACATTTAGGGACAGTTATAAGAAGCTGAAAAGAGTATACTGCTCCCGAATCTAAAGCCAGGCTAAGAGTTTCCTAAGCTGCAGAACTCTGTGCTCCAATCCCAGTCCAATACTGCATAAAGCTGGACTGTTTTATAAATCCATATTTCAATTTCACAGGATTTCCCCAATGAATAAAGTTCATTTGTATGAACACAGGGAAGGGGAGAAGTAAACATGAGATGCCTGCATTCAAAACCAAAGCAAGTGTTGACAAGAATTTTTGTGGCTGATGCTCCTAAGTTCTTCATGGCTTTGTTCATGATTGTTAAAAGGTTTTGCCATTAATACCTACAGTGGGGTTTCTTTCCTCACTCATCTCCATTTCATCTCCTGCCTTTTGACCATCCACTTTATAAAGGAAGATCACTGTATCCTAGTAACAGCAAGAACCTCCCTAACTTCAAACAGGGAAGACAAAACTCTCTCCCATCGTCCCTGCGCAACTCATTCTACCCTGCACATTCTAACACATCCTACCTGCCCAAGCATCAGGAACATAGTCCTTTATTTCCAGGTACACAAATAGAGAGGGCATAGTGAGTGGCATGTTACTTTCACTGCGGAGACAAACATGGTGATAGCCTGAAAAGAGAAAGCAGAAGAGGTAAATTGAGCAAATCTCTCTCCCCTCTTGTCCATGGCTCTAACACAATGAGTTTGAAGGCTCCACTGCCTACAAGTGTATCCTACACCCGAGATTAAGCAGCAAAATATGCAGGTGTTCGTATCTTCTCCACCAGTTTCAAATAGATAGGTCTGAAGGGTACAAAAGCTGAAGGAATCTCCACAAAATTTACCTGAATGCACAGCAGTAACGGGAATGATACGATGACCAATGAACTTCCCTCCTTCCTCCCAAGCCACAATTTTGAGAGATGCCAACTCTGGCATCATGATCTATGAAAAAAACAGAGAAACGCACCTGTGTTCTGATCTCTAACTTCCAACAGCATATTGGCTTCATTAAGTAAAGCTTTACTCTCTCCTACTTCCAACAAAACAATGCCTTCTCCCCAAGGAAGTAACTGCTTATTTCCATATCTTGCTATCGTTTGTCACAGATGTAACTGAAGTTACAAAAACTCCAGAAAATACAACTTTCTCAGAGGACTGACTGCACAGGACCATTGGAGGCTGCTATCTCTCCAAACCATAACTTCCATGATACAATTTGCCAGAGAAGGAAATTAATTTGTAAGTATTTTTATATAGCAAATGTGGTAGCTTTGCCATAAGGACTGTTCCCTCCCTTCCTCCATCATTTTTTTCTGCCGTAAAAAACTGTAACCTTAAAAGGGTTTTCTGAAATTATAAAATGTATGTACCACATTACTAGTAGGCTAAAAGTATCTGCTGTTTCAGAGATGAAAATGTAACATGCATTTTGCCCTTGTAACTTATTACAGAAAACGCAAACCTTACTATTACCTTTGGTTTTACTTCCCCTAACCCAACAGTTGCATTAGCAGTGACCACTGAATTCTTCTAGACAGATGTGGCAGCTTCCCATGATGTGGCATACCTCAAAACCTCCCACTGGTCCCATTACTTGTCCTATATGTCTGTTTCTCATCTTATCATGTAACCATATAGGTTTAATTCTTGTCTGCTTCCTCATGCTTGAAGTTTTCAAAGCTGATTAGTGCATCACAAAGGGGAGATTTCTGATGCCTCTTATTTCCAGAAATGTTCCCCATGACCTTTTATCTGTATGCGGAAATCTTCAAGGAAAATCGTTCTGGACATAAATTATCTGAGGGTGCAACATATAACTCCTGGTGTGTCTACAGCCATGCCTTTCAGACCTCCAGAAAGGAGTCCCTTCTGTTGCCACTGACCGCCCGAAAAGCAGTGCTTTTGTCCCATGAGATCTTTAAGGATTTTTCTGTCTAAATTACCATCAGATACTGTTACCTTTTCAAAAACAAAAGCCTCTTCTTTCCATACAGGGTTAATGGAATTGGCGGTAGAGGTCAGTTTGGTTCTGTATTTGCGTTTTGTGTCCCTTGGCAACCCAAACAGCTCTACTTCCACATATGTCTTCACGCTGCGGTCTGAGAGGAACTGACCAGAAAGGATCTATAAACAAAAAGAAACATAAGTAGCAACTGCCGAAAAGAATAACATAGAAGAAATCTACCCATATCTTCCCCCAACAAAGTCCTTCTCCTTTTCTGTTGCAGCTGTCAATCCACAATATGCTATTCGTTCACCTTTTCTTCCCCCATCATTCTTGCTTTAGCACTTCCACTATCCTCTTCCCTCCCCATCGTCACAGCCTTGGACTCTTCTGTGTGGCAGATGCTAATTTTCCATTTTCATATGATTAATATAAAACAGTGAAAGAACTGGGAGTTGCCATGGTAACACTCTCCCACAGGACTCTCTGGGTTCATTTGCTGTTAAGAACCCTACTGGGTAGTAAATAGAGGGGACATAGGTGCTAGTTATATGCGTGGTGTCAGCACGTGGCTGTCAGGAGAGGAAGAGCACCATGGTTTGTACTTGCCGTGACAGACAGGGTACTTGCCACCACCACATCAATGCGGTCCACAGAGAAGGGGTCAAACTGCTTGTCTGGGCGCCGCATGAATTCATGCTTGAGCAGATAGCCACACTGGCCATTGAACTCAAACAGAGCCATGTTCTGCTGCATGGGGACATCTGAGAGATATGAACAGAGGAACACAGTGAGAAAAATTTCTGTGGAACTTCACCTGATGGGCTGTGTGGTATAAGTGAGCTGAAAGAAGCTGTACTTCTACAGACTCTGCTAGCCAAAAACTCACACTAGTGAAGCCTCCCAGCACTCTTCAGGGAAAAATATTACAGCAGCTGTTTTGTGAAAGGTAAGTGGTTGCTCATGATTGCACCATAATCCATAGGTGGAATGTGATTAAAACCTGCCATTAAACCTGCAGGTGCCATAAGAGGTACCTGCCATTTCAGATGTGAAGTGAGGAGCTGCCTGGGCCCTTCTACTCCTTCCTCCTTCACTCTGGGCTTTTCCTCAGTCCATCTTCTCCTCTGTTACTTCTTCCCTTGCTAACACTGTCTTGTGGTTTCTACACCCATCTTTAGTATGATATTCTCTTCCTCACCAATCTCTCTCACACCCTCTCTAAGTTTCTTCTTTTTTCTCCTCTCATCCTATAGCTAGTCTCCTACACTGTGTATATATATAAAAGACTGAGGGAGGAAGAGAGGGAGAGAATGGCTTTATCTAGAAGGTTTTTTTGGTCTCCTTCTGGTTGTGCAGCAAGCAAAGGCCCTTCTTCCCTGCTCAGATCAGTATATTGGAAATAACAGCACAGACAGGACAATCCCATAGCTAGATGGAGCTATGCCTGCTGCCTCTCAAAAGAGCAGGCAGTTTAGGGGAAGGACAGTCTTCTGATTTAACTGCACACATTATGCAGCCTGATAAAACATTACAAAACTGCCAGAGGTGGTACCTGGATACTGGATGCCAGCAAGTCCATGTGTGTATTTTGTATAACTGTGCAGGATAGACATCACTGGCACTGCATGCCAGGTTTGTGCTGGGTCTAGAAAAGTGCTTTTGGTCTACTGGAGACTGAGTCAGAGAGGATGAGGGTACATACAATAAACATACTCAGAGCAACAGCAGTGTTACAAAATAGCAGCAAAGGAAGAAGTGACAGTGAACATGACAGCCTCACCCACCGAAAAGCTGGAGGACAATGTGACGCTCACCCATGGTCTGGAAGTTCAGTGCCACCATCTGACAGCCAATGTTCCAGAACATCTGGGGCATGTAATTAGAGGAGTCCATCCGTGTGCCTTTGGGGTAAATGCGGCTCATCTGTCGCTTGTTATATCTACAATATACTCTATTGGAAACAGGTTCGGAGCACTTCTGCTGCCTGTGTACCCTGGGGCTAGCTCACATGTTCAAATTATGATACTTGTTAAAGCTCTGCTACCAAACACTCAGAAGTTTCCAAATGAGAGAAGTTCAATGACAGGCTTCTTTCCCATAACTCTTTCTGCTTAACAGCAAGCATCTGGCTGTCATGGCTTTGCTGGAGTAGGATGCATCCTGTCAAGAATCTCTGTCAACAGCCTCCAAGTCACCCTAGAAGCTCTCATGTCTCCGGCACCTGCACTGTTTATTCACCTATTAGGCCTCTGACTAAGAGTTAATCGGGTCCTGAAACCAGAAGCCAGTCAAATGTGCCTCAGCCTTACCCAAGCTTCAGATTAGTACTCAGAAGACTGCATCTTTTGTCAGAGTTTGACATACTGATGCAATGTCTTATGCTCTCACGCTCCATTGATAATGCAACCAGCTATACTGGCCAAACATTGCCAAAAGGATACTCCACAAACTGCACAGGGAACTTGGTTAGCAGATCATAAGCCTTCAACTCTGTGAAGGAAGAGATGACATAGCTCCGGTTCTTCTCTAGAAACAGGAGATAAGAAAGCATTTAGACAAAAAGCTTGCCCAGCCCCCCATCTCTTATTATCCTGGGTGTGGAGACTATAGCATGCAATGAACCTAAGAAACATTCAGACTGTTTATTCCCACTTTCTACCAGGTACTATTTTCTGATCAAGGCAATTTTTCTTTCCCTGGTCCCTTGCAATGGGACTGAAGAACAATATTCCATAAAAGGTTATTTATGTTTACCAGGGAGAGAACAGTTGTTCACTACAGGACAAGAACTTTATGGAGTACAGACAGGCAAAGGCATGTGTGCATATGAAAGAATTCATCTTTTAGTGGCAGGCTATGCACTATAACATATACAGTTCCACACTGGGTCTCTGAGCTGTACATTTATAATTGCTTAGGTAGAGCTTAAATGACAAGGATTTATGCCCATCTCTTCCTGGATTCTATTGAAATTTGGAGAATAGCTTCTACCTGGAGTTTTAGTTCCAAGTGAATCCAATATTCAAAGTAAAGTGTTGCACAAAGTTCTTTATTTTGTCAAGTTTCTCCTTCTTCATTCCGCTACTTTTTCTTTCTCTCTGTCTCTGTCTCTCTCTCTCTCTCGCTCTGTTTTTTTGTTTTAATTCATCACTGAATCCAGCTCACTCAAAGCTCGGCCCTATTTTGGGAGCTCTTTAGAGGAACCTATTGTGCATTAAGAAACTGGGTGCATTTTCAAGATTTCACATGCACTCCTGTCACCAACCAGGGTCCTAATCACCATAGAAGAGGAAGGCCAGTCACAAACATTAAGAAAGACTGGGCTCAGTCCTGCCCTTAGAAACAGCAAAGCAAGCCCACAGAGACATCATTCACCTCTACACTGTTTCCTTTCATTCTCACTTGTATAATTGAGAGCCACCTCTGATGCATCCCTGTCTTCTCCTTACCAGTTCCTTAGTACAGGGAGAAGGATGGAAGGGAAGTGCTTGTGATAATACATATGTTGTGATAGAGAAGATGACAGAAAATAGGTTAAAGCAAATGACAAAGTTAGCTGGAGAACGCCAACATCTGAAGCATGCCTTCCCTGGTCAAATGGAAACACTCAGGACCCTGAAAGGGCTGGAATCTTACTTACGGGAAGAGACTTCAAAGGAGTCGAATTTGATGGGTTGGACATAATTAACTAGGCTGGACATTTCCTCATACGCTGTTACTTCCAAACCAGCAGTGCCCTAGGCAGAAAACAAAACCCAAGAGAAGACAGATGAAGAGACCTTTCCTAGAGATGAAACAAAACACACCTCGGCTTCACAATCAAAGAAATTCAAAGGCTGCTCTGACCAGAGCACACCAGTTTCTTTGGCTTCTTAGTCCTAAAGTTATTTTTTAGGCACTGTGTAGGCAGGGGCACATCAAGCTTCCAAGGAGCTAGACAAAAACTGAAATCAAGACGCTTTGTGTGAAGAGGTATCAAGACGAATATTTACCTCTTTAACCTCTCAAAACATGGAGTCTGGGACAAACCTGGGACATTGTTTGCCTTGCTCTCTGAGTGATACTAGGAAGATGGAAATGTGCAATAGATTTTCTCTTAATGGAGAGCTGATCAGGTACGTCCCTCTTAAGCAGCTGCACTTCATATTTCTGTAACAGCTTTTATCGGACTAAGGCTAAGCCTCTCCAAACACCCTGAAGGCGGACAATTATCTCCGAATCATGCAGAATATCAAAGGCAGACTCAGAAATTAACACCTGTCCTGCCATACCCTTTATGTTTGCAACATCATTTCTCTTATTCAGTTTCTCCTGCAGAAATCTTGTTGCATGGGGGAGGGGAGGTCCCTGATCAGTCATAGCACAGCTCAATCCCACTTGGGATTTAATCTCAATTCAGGATGGTGAAGCCCCAGAGCAACCAGAAAAGGAACAGAAACAGCAGTGACAGTACCTCATCTGACTGCATCTTTTTAATTTCCTCTTCATCCAGGTTTCCCAGCTGTTCATCCTCTTCCTCTGGTTCCTCTTCAGCCACATCACCTGCCCAGACTAAGCACACAGAGCCCACATCAGTAGCACACTGAGACAAGACATTGTGGCTTGCTCACATGATCTCCAACACTAACTCCACTAGCAATGGAGAGTTCTGGAAAACTGCACAAGCAAGCCACACAGGAACAGGAAGAGGAAGAATAAGAGCCATCATACCACTTTATTAACCAAATCCAAATATGAAAATTCTTATTGGGGGCCTCCCTCATACCCCAAGATTCACAACCACAGTGCTGATTTCCCCACCAAGGGTCAGGCACATTTGTGGGACTGAATGTCTGATTTCCAGGTTCTCTGCAGTGGTGTATTTCTTCCCTTCATGTGCTCCTATTATGACAGGGACTGAAAACTGACTATTCTGTCTTAGATTCATGGGGCCCAAGCAGTGACAGCTTTGAGACTGAAAGGGTGGGGACGAGAGCGGGGGCTGTAAACCTTCGAGAACTTCAAAGTGGTTATTGGAGAGTTACAGGTAGTAAAAAATTATCCACACTTCCATAAAACCAACAGTCAGTGTTATCAGTGAACTATCAACCCATACAGCCATAAACCTCAGAGTAGGCAGAAGGGTTGATGGGCAGGGAATTAAGTTGGTTGTTATTGGTTGGAATGAAGCCTCTGCAAATATTCTGAAGGCTTAATTACTCTTCCAGTCTTATGCTTCTTCTTGAGATGCCTGAAATAATGACTGGTATCAGCTTGCCTCAAGATAGTATTGGGCTGATTTGGAAGGTTTCCAGGAGGCCAGACTTGCTCATCTTGATGTACAAGTCCATCTTCCCTTCAAATGTACCTGTATCTTCACCATCCATAGGGGCTGGCTGCTCGGTGATTTCTGGTTCTACGTTTCTCCCTTTCTTCAAGGAATTCTGCCTCTTTCCAGATATAAATTGGTTCTTTTTGTTCTTAATCAATATTTTCCCTAAGAGGTCTTGAGGACTTGGTAGAGGAACTCCTGGCTTCAACTGCAACAGAGAAATTTCATACTGAATTTTCATCACAAAGACATAACTTAAACATTTGGCTCTCCTCCCCCTCCCAGTACCATTCTTCTAGCTACTTTTTGGTACATGGAAACCTCTCTCAACCACTGTGTACTTTAACTTCTCTGTCTGCTAGCACATCCTACTCTATCTATGCACATTTCTCCTAAAATCTCACCTTCCTGAAGTTGGTTTCAGACCAGCATTTTGCACCTATCAGTCCTTTCATGTTCTGTTGCCTGTGCATGCCATGCTGTTTCCAGTCATCCATCCTGTACCACAGCTAAAAAACCCCCATCTGTATTACCTAGAGCCATCCACACACCTCTGGTTTTCACATTCCACCCACTTCTATCGTTATCTCAGAGCCTAGGTCCTAGATCAGCATTCAGACCATATTTAAACTCTCTGCCTGAGGCAGATTTGAAATAACATATCAGAGCAGCTGGCCCAAGACAAGGATGAGTGACTCAGATTGTTTCTGGACATGCACTCCCAGTATTGAGAGCAACAGACATATTAATGATTAATTTAATTAATATCCTGAACACATACCCTGTTTCTCCCCATTGCCTGGATAGGGACATGGGTCTGGACCATAGGCAACTACCAATTTGCTCACTGCTTCTTTTCAGCTCTTTTGATCTCAGTGCTCAAAAACAGATGCTTGTGCGAGGTGTCTCAGCCTCTTCCACTATTTATCCAAAAGGACTTGCACACGTGGACGATTCCACTGCAATTGGCTTTGTCAGCTCTCCAGTCCCTTACTCTAATACTTGTCTTACGCTTCACAGAACACAGGAGCTGCTGTTGTTTGAAATCAGTGGGCATTCAAAAGGCACCTCAAGTAGCAATGTGCACAGGGAACACCAAAGAGGTCACTGTATCTGTAAAAGTATGTGCTTGTAAAAGTAAGCTGATGACTAGGGTCAAGATGAGCGGGAGCAATATTTAGCTCTTCTGAGTGCAAAGCTAGGCATGTTGCTGACCTCCTCATCTATGCAAGCATGGGTATATTTCCAGGGTGGAAACAGGAATTTAGACGCATTGGTGAAAAAGTATAAAATGCCACTAAGCCCTTGTTACTGTTTCCTTCCAAAACGAGCGCTGGCAGATGCATTTCAAATGGTACCATCTACCAGAATATACTGACCCATCTTGATAGAATTCATACAGTTTGATCACCTAGGGCTCAGTTTCCAGAGTCATTGAAGTCACAGATCGTTAAGTAAGAGCAGAGTCAGGCAAGTGGTTAGGAAAACCTCTGCGACTGAGAAGTCCTCCCTCCATTTACTATGTTGTTCACCACCATGAACTAGGCTTATTTGTCTGCTGCACCCTCTCTCAGTCCTTGTATCTGTTGTGGAGTCTCCAAGGCTACAAGTAACCAGTTTTTTCACAATGATCTCTCCACTAATCCAGGTTCTTCCCATGCCCACTTCAGCTTCCACTTACTGGGTATTTTTCCAGCGGCTCTGTCAACAGCATATTTCCAAATATGGTTCGGCAGTACTCAGCCATCTTTGCCTGCTGCTTGGGTCTAACAAACAAAGAAATCAAGCAGGATCGAGTAGGAAAATAGGTGCCCAAATCCACAGCTCAGCATGAGCAACCACCCCGAGATCCACACACTCTACCAAGTAAAAAATCTCTTACCTTCTCTCAGATAACTATACAGCTCCTGAAGTACTTCCCCAGGACTAATCCCTTTTGTCCATACTCCAGCAGCTAAGGGGACGGACAGTTACAGTGGGTCTCACGTTGTAGCCTTTCAGCTACAACCTTTCAGCTCTGACCCACTCCCAATCGCTTCAAGTATCTCTGCTAGCGTTTCATTTCACTATCCTAAAGCTCAGCCAGGTAGCCACTTAAAACCAGGCAGGCCTTGCCTGTGGACTTTCTGCTCCAGAAACCAGAGAAAACAATTCCCTCACATCTGGTCCCAAGCACCAGTTACTCACGAGTCCACGTGGTTTTCAAAGGACAGGATAACAGGGTAGAGAGATGTTTTGAAAGCACTTTCTGCAATGGCCTCAATGGCATCCTAAAGGAAGGGAATGGTCAGAGTGTGAAGATAAGTGCTCACTAATAACAAAACCATGAGGCTGACTGCCCACTGAATTAACCCCCAATTTTCAGATCTCCAAACTGATCATTGTCGGGGTGCTCTCTAATGTAACTGAACTTCTCCCAGTAAGAAAGTGACAAGCGTCTTCTTTTCCAAACCTGTCCAGATTTCCAGCTCCAGAGAATACAAGTTCCAACTCTGAATCCCTAAGATTCTCTTTCACACAGCTAAAGTCAACAGATCACACAAAAAAAAAAGCTAAATATGTTAGAATGTAAGTTTTTCATTTTCTTACATGGCTAAGAGTATACATAAACAAATAGGAAAGCATCTAGCATCTTAAGAAGCAAACCACTGTAAAATGCACTTCAAATTGGCCGAAAAAGATGGACAAAGCACCAGATTAGACTGCGTCAAACCCTGTTTATACTTACCTCTGAATCTGTCCAATTTTCTATCATTTCACTTGACTATAAAATCCTTCTCTCTAGCAGCAGAGAAAACTAGAATGTTCAGCAACCAGCAGTGCTGACATTTCAAATGCAAATACCATGGAAACGTTCTCAGCATTAATGACGTTAAAAAAAAAAATCATATTTCCCCCAAGCCCCTATTAAACTGCCATAAACTTTCCACTTTTTTCTTTCCAGGTGCTGCTAATTGGTATGTTAAAGAAGTATCATTTGCTCCTTTGCAATTACCTCCCAGATTTTATTCTTGCCTGTTTGGCACTAACATCACACAGACCATGGCATACTGCACTGTGACACATAGGCTGCAGGTCAAACACTTAAAGCCAGAATTAGCACGATGACTTCAACCTGGGCAACCCCCCAGTCTCCCCAAATCAAACCAAAAACTCCAAAACAATCAGCCAGTCCTCTCTCCTTCCCCTAAAAATCTGGGTTCAGCAAGCATCTTAGCACTGAGGGGGCTGCCACAGTTGTTCCTCCTCAGACAACTTGGACTGCCTATCAAAGAAACCTTCAAGGTTCAGGGGAGGAAAAAGTGCAGAAAAAGGTATTAAAAGACCACAGGCAATGTTAAAGAAGGGAGGGAGTTACAGAGGGAAAGATCTACTTATTATATAAAACTAAAACCTGGGCACATGCTGAGTTAACACGTTATAATTTCCTTGAGGTACAGTCACATGCTTTAGCAGAACTTGCCACAATTACAGCAGCCACAGCTGTCATTATTTCTCTTATCCATAGTGAACTGCTGTGCAAAAAGCAGCAGTGGTATTACAGGATCTGGGAAATTACTGACACTGAATATGACAATACCTCTGATCGTTACTAAGGATGAAGGGTGTTTTTTCCCCACACATATATATTTTAGTAATAATGAAGTGTGGGAACTGCAGGGAAGTTGCATAGTAAGTATTAATAGCTTTAAAAAAAAAAGAGTGCCTTTGCCTGCTGGCAGCTGCTGTGTAAAGCAGCACAGAAAAAAATAAGCGTGCTGCATTGATTTTTAACCTACAAGCTGTTTGTAACTGTGGTTAAATGCCCTAAATTTCCAAGTGAGAAGCAGGCTTTGGACTGTGCTTCTGAAGTGTGGGAGCCAAATCCTCAGGGAAGCTGTCTGCCCAGCATCCCAGAGGGCAGCTGCTCCACTGAATACACTCCACACAGCCATGTAATTAGGAAGTAATTAAAATATTCCTCCAGAGTGCCCCCATGTGATGCTGTAAGACACATATACCTGCTGTAGATCAGTCAGCAGATAAACTCATTTTAACCCTTTGTTTTCTAAAAGCTATCTTGGTCTTTGTTTTCCGATGGGCATGCATCTATAAAGCCACTGTCCTCATGCAACTCTCTGTCCATACATCCTCCTTGCTACACAACTCTTAGTGTCTGCAGATACACCTACTCAACCACCTCTCCATCACTCCTACCTGACAGCCTGTATTTCACTCATTCATTCACCTTCATCCAGCTTACAACCTCTCTTGTTGTCCTCCCACTCCAAAAAACATACACAAACTCCAACCTATTGCAACCTATTGCTTGTCTCCCTCCTATCTACAAATTCATTCACTTGTCATCTTCACATCAACCTTTTGCTCTCAAACATCTTTGCCCTCAGTCCATGCCTTTGACCATCCCCTCAGTTAGCCAATCTCCCTGAACAGAGATCAGTCTAAAACCAAGCAGGGGAAAATATATGTGGAAAAAACTCCTTCCTTGCCTTGAAGAGGATCTCAGTTGTCATGGTGAACCCATGAGTGATGATCGGCTCCTCATCCGGGGGACGGCCCTTCCAGCAATCCAGCTCTACGCATCGGCAGCCAGCCAGCAGTGTCTGGCGGTACATTTCAGGAGATGAGATGCCAGAAAACTGACCAGCTGGAGGAGAGCAGAAGGAGTGATGCCCATCGTTATTTATTCACGTGGGACATTTTCTGCGTAAGCTGGAGTAGAAGAACCCTCTGCCTTCCTTGAGCAAGTGTACATGGCAGGGTGGCAAGATGTTTTAGGTAACAGGGTGGCATTTCTTCCTTTTGCACAGCATTTAATTGTCACAGCCCTCAGAGTGTATTACTGCCCTCGACTGTTAAAATTTCTGGGCAGATACATCTGCCTGACTGATTGGCAGGGTCATTCATGCATCCTTGGTGGTGGCACATATGCACATGAGCTGAGGCAGACTATGGAACTGCCCCTACCTGTTAAGTACGTGTTGTGTGATGAATTGATGAAGTAGTGTGAGAGCGGCTGGGTCATGTCCTGGTACAGCACCAATTTGTCCAGTGCTATCACATTGTTCTCAGGGCCACAGAGGAACCAGACCATCCCCTCTGGAGACAACTGCCCTGCGTGGAAAACAAAACTGTTAATGGTAATGTAACAAAATGGTTCTGGCACCTCCTTGCCATTTCATGATAACACGTGGTGGGGGCTTGTGGAAGTTAGGCTGGCTGCTCCCCTGGGAAAGTCAGGGTAGCAGATAGGCTGAGATCCTCTGATATTTTCATGCCATCTCCACAGCAGGATGTTACAGAAAAACAGACCTACATGCTGAGCAAGACTCACCTCTCTGGATGTTAATCCCACTGGGCTCATACTTCTCTATCAGGCTCTGCACCTGCTCAGGTTTGGCTGGTGGGAAAAGGATGTCATTGAGGCGAGAGTCTCGCTGCTTCTTGTTGATAAACTTTGCCAAGTGCTCTTTGGTCATGTAGGGCTTAGCTTTTAAATGGCTATGGGAAGAGAATTACAGAGGAGCAGGGGTAAGGCCTGTGTATTACCCAGGAAAAGTTTTTTAAAGTGGAGAGATTGGTCCTTCCTCTGGTTAGCAATGGGTGCCTGCCTCTCTGGGCCCACAAATTCTGGTTTTGTCTACATTTCTTCCTATAAACAATGTTTCCCACTGCGACCTTCCTTCTCTATATTCTTCTTCCTAATTAATTCAATACTGTTAACAGATTGTGCTGAGGGAAGAGCAAGGCTTATTTTGAGCCTTTGATTTGAACTCTAAAGGGGCCTGAATTTCAGAACACATTGAATTGCTTGCCCTATGAAATCAAGTCCACTTAAGAAGTCACAGATTTAGTTGCTTGGAAAAAAACAAAAAAAACCCAACCAAAAAAGTCACTGGTTACTTATGAGGACCTATTGTTCTCACCCTGTACAGGGCCTTGTTTGGTGGTGGCCACAAGCCCTGTCACATTAGGATGATCTAGTGTTGACCTGCAATCGACACTTCTGAAGGTGATAGTTGAGAGTTCCTGCAGCCAGTGAGGCTTCATGCTTTCCGTTCAGAATCTCAGTGAAGGTGTTAAGTCACTGTTTTGTAGCCTGGGTACCTGCCCTTCTAGGAATGCTTGAGTCCAGCCTCACTATACAGCACAACAGTCCCTCTCCCTTCCTTGTTGCCTAATCTTTTGTCTCAAGAAATTAAGTCCTTTGCTGTGTCTTAAAGGAAACTTACTGTGAGGTAAATATCTCGTCAATCTCAGGCCGAGGACACAGATTCATAAGGAAAGTTTTATACACTGTCTCAGGGAAGTCCTCTGGGTTGATGGCATCATTCTGAAAATGAAATAGAGACATGTCATTATCACAAACCTGTTACTGTCTTCACTTCTCTGTTAACGCTAAACACCCACAGTCCAGCACTTACAGCGCTTGTTTGTGACAATTTAAATGAGCAACTGGAGCATCTGGCAAGCTGTTGAGAAAAGAGTAGATGGAGTGGAGAAGCACTGTAATGGCCTATTTCAGAATGGACAGTAAAGCAAACTGTCCCTTAGTGCCTCTTGTGTGGTTGTAAAAGCTAGAGCATGATGCACTGATAGGAGTGTCAGAGGCTTGGACTGTACTCAGCAGGTTGGCAGCAGTGCCAAGATTAACCTTCAGATCTGTTGCTTCAAAGAGCACACAGTGGAACAGGTAAAGCAGGTGGAAGGGAATGTGCTGCTTCTTGTGCCATGTAGCGCCAGTGACAATAGAGCCCCAAGAGTTACTGCAATACAAACAGTAAGACTTGATCTTAGCATGCCTACAGTTAAGGCAAGGCATATAATGACAAGGGCAGGGGTTCACAGCAATTTATAGCATTTGAGCTGCTGATTTTTTCAGAGGCAAGGGCATCATGGTCAGGGTATGCAAAAAGATTTTTTTCTCAAGCAAGAGCGAGCTTTGGCTACCTATTAAGACCCTTACCTTGCCCTTTGGAAGATGACAAGCACTTAATGCTGCTTCCACCCTCTTCCTATCTGCAGGAAACATCTGAAAAATACTGACCAGAGAAAGGAAAAATAATCATAACCACAGTGTAACTGGCGTGAAGTCAGAAAGTCTGGATTTGGTGCTGGGAGATGCAGCCAAAGCACAAGACGTGCAGAGGGGTGCTTCAGTATATGCAGTGAAGGTGATGTCAAGAAGACTCTAAACATAAACCAGATAAGGAAGACAGTGTTTCTCCAAAGGGAGTACCTGATGTGCCAAGTCCTATAAACTGATATTTCTACAGTAGATTTTTTGACTGCTGTCTTAATATAGTAAGTTCCATATTTCTGCTATGGACTCTATAGGAGCCCTGACACTAAGCTGGATCAGTTTATCCTCAAAAATCACTGCTGACTGTCCTTCCCCCTTCTTGGAGGTGTCCTCTTTGGTCTCATGCTGCAAATGCTCAGGGACACTTATTCCCACAAGACACTATCTCATGCAATAGCAGGCATTAGTTAGGAATAAATTTGTACTCAAGACAAGATTAAAAAAAACAAACAAACAAAACCAAATTTCATGTAAATTTGCTGCTGTGGATGAAGGCAAAATTGTATGTCCTGGAAACCAAAGGCGTTTCATGAATTCAAGGAACAAACCCATCACACAGGCAAAGAAGCTGCAGAAACCACAGCTCACCTCCTTAGAAAGTTAGGTACTGGTCTGCAGGGCAGAATGCATTGTGTCAAGCCTTCAGCTTAAAGCAGGCTCTTTGCCATTTTATGTAATATTAACAAGAATTGAACTCTCCCTACTTTCAGAAGCTCCCAGCCAGCAACAATGAGATCTCCTCTGTGGATAAATTCAGATGTCAATTCTATTAAGCTCCTGGCATCTCAGGTGCTCACAGCCAAAAAAGGGGAACAAGAAGTGCCAAATGTGGTGACAGGTGGAAAAAGGTTCACTGGGAGCTGCAGCAGACTTATGCAAACTCATTATATATCAGTTCCCAAGCAGCCCTTTGCAAGGCAAAAATTACAGCACCCTTGCTATGCTTCAAAGGGATGAAAATGTCTAAAGACAAAGGCAGGTGGTAAGTGGAATTTTCAAAAGTATTCAGACATGGAGTTTTGAAAGCCCACTGAAAACTTAGCTGCACCTGGAGATGCCAAATACTTTTGTAAATCTTGCTCTTAATCTGCACTACTTAGTGGTCTAATGCTTTAGATAGGATAGCACTTTAAACTACTCTGCAAGAAAGACTGACTATCTCTCATCTAGGAGAGATATAGCCTGCACCAGAGATTGTTTTAAGCTTGTTTTGGAAAAAATAAACTGTTTTCTCTCTGCGGTAATGTTGCCTTGCTTGCATTTTAAAGATCAATTTAAAGAACTCTTCCCTAGTGTGTTATTCATTAAAGATCTATACATTTTTAAAAGGCCTTTGACAAATACACTGGTTTCTGACCAAATGAAATTCTACTGGTTGGTGGTTTAGAAAACAAACAACAACAACAAATGTTTCTTGTTGAATAATGATGAACCATCCAGTAACAGATTTAGCCAGCACAGACTCAGTCTAAAATCATTATGCAATATAACACACAGTAGGTAGTACATTTATTACAGGCGATTAGCACTTGCCTCTTGTGATGCTATAATGCAGCACAAAGCTAGAGGTAGAGCAGTTCAAAACCTTCCATTGAATACCTAACAATGCACTATCTGCAGGTCCTTATTCTTAATATAGAAGATAATTTATGCACCGAAAAGGGAATTCAACACTGCAGTGCAGTCTTTTGTCACTTTATGAGTGGAATAAACACGGAGGAGCCATAGGACCAGTTACGGAGTGATTTTAGCAGGGAAGACACCGAGTGGCACAAAATCAGTTCGAGACTCATGCCACACAATGCAGTGGGGGAGAATTAATATGTTGGTCTTTGCTTCAATAAAGCAGCCCAGGCTGATTCTCATGGCAGCCCTACCTTGATGCACAAAGCCAGCCCTGGGAACAGTGAAGTACAGACCTCCACTCTTTTGACCCTGAACCAGAATTAGCATCAGCCCAGAGGTTTGTCCTCACTCAGTTTACCTCTCATTCAAATGCAGAGTAAAGGGTGAAGTCGGCAGAATCATGCCAGTGTAGAATTGCTGCAGTGGTCATACATGAGGAAAGGAGACAAGAGAAAGCAAAGGACTGCTAGTTCAGGCTAGCTGAGGAGCTAAGCAAAAAGCTCTCCTCTAGAAATGGACCAAATACAAAATTTCTTACATTAAAGCTAAAATGAGTCCTACACCTCATCCACTCTTTAACCCAGGTGGGCAAAACAGATCCCTGACCAGAATATTACCCAGAGTTGTTTTTGTTGACCGTTACTTGGCAACAGCTGGGAAGTGAAATCCATGGTTGTTCAAGACAACTTCTTGTTGCAGATGGAGATAGGTCACAAAAGATCTCCCAAATTACGTCCCAGGCCTCTGCCTTTGGTGGGGTCCGTAGGTCCAGCAAGAGTACTCTCATAACCTGAATCCAGAGGCTTTCTCTCTTTAGTGCAGCAGGAGCAGGCAGCTGAAGCCACTGGGCTACAATCCTATCAGCAGATGCTCTGTCTTTAATCTGACTGAACACACAATAAGGACAAATATCCGTACTTACTTTCTGACAGGAATTTTCCCCTCTGCATTAAGCTGCATCTTCAGCTTTACCAGGCTGTGAAAAAAAGCCAAGAGGAAGGATGAAAATTCACTTGTATAACCTTTCAGGTCTTATCAGTAAGGAGAAAGAAAGAAAATACCATTGGGAAGAGAATCCAAGAGTTAACTGATAATCAGAGTCCTAGCAGTCTACAGATTGTGAGCTTTTCCTCAGATAGAACCTGTTGCCATTTCTTGGGAGTGACAAGCAAATGATAGAGCTTAGATATCAAAGTAAGAGAGTCCTCTGAAACATTTGATATAGATATGAAATAATGGTACCCACTGTTTAGTGTTCTTCAGTGATCCCAGGTTGCCAACCAAATAGTATTAGAGAGACAAGAAACAGAGGCAGCACTTCTTGGGGTTTAGTGCTGTGACTGTGGAGGGGACATATTTGAGGCTCTGAATCTCTGTCTAATACCAAGTGCATTTTCAAAAGGCTCAAGTACTTTGGTGCCAGTCAGCTGCCACATGACATACGCCCAGCTACCAACCCCCTACCTCTGCCTTGGGGCTCCTGAGTTGACACAGTACTTGCTTTGGAGTCTGCCAAAGGCCTTGGATACTGAAGAGCCTTTTATTTCTGGTGCAGAGAGGGTATTATATGAATGTTTTAGAGAATAACATTTGTCAGAAACCACTTACATTTTCTCTAGGAAGGTGTATCGAGAAGCATTGTATGTGAGAGGATTCCGAACAATGGCCAAAATATCCTCAGCCCAGCTCTGGGAACAAACAAACACACAAGGTAGACACAGTTGGGCATAACGGAACTGTACCAATCAGCACACAGCATCAGATACTGAAATGGCTTGACAACAGTGCTGGGCAATGAATCTCCGTGACTGCTCCTGCTCCCTGGGCTTGGCTATAACATCTTCCTATTGCCTATATATACTAGCAGCTGGAACTTTTCCACCTACTCCTCTCAGCTGTCTGTTTACCCATACAAAGCACAGGAAGGACAAAAATGACACACTAAACTTCTTGCACTGGTCCTGCATGCACAGAAGTCTCTAGAACTACAGAGGTACCACGCCCTACTGAATCACAATCCTGTGTTTATAACCTTCTCAGTAACACTGACAGGGTTCAGGTTCCCTGTCTTCCCCTCTCCTTTCCTGCTCTCCCTTGAATGCTCCAACCTACAGTGTTTCCCAGTGTCCCCTTCCCGTCAGGTCCTGATACCTTGCCAACATTCTCCTTGTAGGACACAAAGTTATGGAAAGTGAGATCCACCATGTCAGGGCCAGATACAACAGTCAGAGTCTTAAGCAGGAAGGTGCTGTGTGGGTAATCCAAGTTAAAAACCTCTCGGAGCTTCTGGCACTGCAAAAGAAAAAAACAAAGGGGGATGAAGGGAGAATGATGCTAACCACTGACCTGAAAAAAGAGAACCTAATCCAAACTTTAATCTCACACCAAGCCTCTCTGAGCTTGCAAAACTGTTAATGTAATCTTCCTTGTTTTTCATTATTTATCATTTTTATCCCAGAGTCTGCCTTACCTGGACCTTCCAAGGAAGAGAATATTGTGACTAATATCACTGCACAAACACACTATTTGGCCTGGAGATTGCTCTTAAAATTCCTTGTGAGACTTCAGCCTGAACTTGCAGATGAGTATCTGGTCGCACCCAGACATGCACACCACGTATGAGACAGCCATTTGTCAAAACACTGATAAGGTCTTTTAGATTAGTGCTACACTTTATGCTGTAACATCCCTCCACCACAAGGAAGATGTCTGGGATCCTAGGAGGTCTACCACCTGTAGACCTAGTTATTGGAGAGATGGGCTCTCTCTCCCTCCAAGTGCTGCTAGTCTTCAGTTCGTAGCGTTGTTTTTTTCCATAGCAATTTCAGTATCCTACAGTGATGGCTCACTAGAGATTTATTTTGTTAAGTACAGGGCTCATCTGATTAGTCACACTTGGGTTTCATCACTGTATGAAAGTATTTATAGAATGCCTTTAAATTAATTGGCATTCTCGGTGTTCCTGTGTAAGGCATCGCTAAGCCAAGGTATCCTGGAGTTATACTAACAGTCGCTGTTTATAACGAAAGGATAAAATTCCCATATCCTAGAATAAAGGATGACAATTTGTTATCTAAAGTGCAGAAGAAATCATATCAAAGCAAACAAGGAGGTTATCAAGTGCTTGCTCCTTCAGAAACTAAGGGCAAAATTCATAATTAGGCATTGTTAGCACAGCACATCAGACTCGGAAGTTTAACTGGGACTAGAATCTGAGCTCTCAGTTGCACAAACGTAGTTCGTGAGACGCACGACTGAGTTACTGCAATTCAACTAATAATACTACATATTAATCTCAACAAAAGAAGTTTTTAGCTAAATGACTTTACCCTTTCGTTTGCCATAAACTTAGAGCACATACGAAATTAGTGGCTACTGTTAAGCTTGTGCCTAGTGACTTCTTAAGCTGCTATTAACTGGATTATGTCTGAGCCTTTGCAAGTTGAGGAAAGTGAACTCCCTCACTCTTAGACTTTCATGGACCTCTAACTTGCCCAAAAACTGACTAAAGAAACCCATGTACAACTGTTTGTTTTCATCCCACAGTGACTGAAATCCAAGCAATTCCTTTTCTGTTCTTTGCATTTGAACTGTAATAGTTGAAATTACAAAACAGCTTGGCTTCAGGCATTCTTATGGGTTTGTACAGCGTCACTCAAAGAACTGCATATATATTTTATAAGGCACTATGCAGGCTTTTTCCATTGTATTTTTTCCAAATTTCCAGAACACTTACAATTTTGACACATATGTGGCAAACAGGCATCTTTAGGAAAAATAGAATGGGCTGGATTATAACTCAAGATCATCTGACTACTGTATCCCACTTCACAAAAGCAACTCCTCTTAGGGGTAACTCTGAAAGCTGTATAATCCAAGAGTATTTGGAATGAAAGAAGGGGGAAGTTAGTCAGGCAGAAGGAAAAAACACCAAGAAGATCTGCCTATTTTCTCATAGTTAGGGAGTTTTTAGAATGGCATATTTTTGCATTGTGACCAGTTTTCCTTTGCAGAAGCGAACAGCACCCACATACCCACACCCCCTTCCCACACTGATAGCAACCTCTTCATGGAGGTTAACTTCTCATTACAAGTGGCAAAGTGTTAGGATTTTAGTTTCAAATTTAATTGCATCTCGCAAACCTTCTGGCATTTGTTCAGCTTCCTTACCTCTAGCATTGTAAATTATATGAAGCTAAGACAATAGAGAACTTGTGGTTTATGCTGAACTCATTTCCTGTATTTGTTACAAACTAGCTCCTCCCATCTCTTCCTTCTCTGTAATCCGGTGTAGCTTGGCTCTGCAGCAGACATTTGTGTTCATGGTATGTCCCTAGCAGGCTGAAAGCTGTATTGAAGCTTCTGCCTTTCTAGCTGCGCTCTGCCAGACAAACTTGACACATGCAGTGTTTGGCAATGCCTTGATATCTGATCACCTTCTTAAAACAAGAAGTTCACAGTTAGCCTTAGCCTATACAGCTTTTTATACCCCAGGTACTTTACAAGCATTAAATTATGATGCCTCATAACACCCCTGTGAAGTTCTTAGCCTCATGTTATGAGAAGAAAACTTCAGAAAGAGTGAAGGAGAAGAAAGGATGATCTTGTCAGGGATCTAAATTGGGTCATATTTTCCCAGCAACTGATTTCCTGCCTGGCCTTAAGCGAGTCACTCAATTACTTTGTGCTGCCTATTTTACATGGAGATTATCTCCCTCAACAGATGAATGCAATGATGCTCACCCTAACACTTAGTGAGGATGGTAACAGAGGACCAGGGACACGTTGCTCGTCCAAGAGCACAGAACCTGATGCCAAGTTTGGCTCCTTCAGCACCCGTACTCCTTCAACATTTTGTGCTGCAGCTTCACTACGTAATGACTTAGTGCCACATTGCAGCAGGCCATAAAGGAAAAATAGGAATTGCTGCATGGAAAGCAGGACAATCATATTACCCATGCAAATCAGAGCAAGGGAAACACGCTTAGCAAACCCACTCAAAAAAATGCAACTCCAAAACAACCCACCAGTGGAGTAGTTGAACTACAAATTCAGCTTTTCTTACATTTCCCACCCTCCTGATTTCCCTAAAACCCTCATCTGTATAAACCAGATTCATAATCCAGAGAAAAGCAAATTCTCATGCAAACATAAACAAAAGACCACTCCTAATGCAAGAGACAGAGAGACCAGTCTTTTCTGCACTTGAAAGAAGACGCAATCAAATGATAGTCAGGTTCTGCCACAATTGCATGCGCTTACTACACTATGGTGTTTTTGCATCTTCATGAAAATAATTACATGACACAGTGCTTGTGATACTAGAGGATTAGAGTTGACAACCCAAGCAGTCTCTTTCAAGCCTACATTCTTGATCATGACAAGCAACAGCACAGCAGAACATTGGTACCAAACCTGTGAAAAAACTAAAAGTACAACAATAGGTTTATTATCAAAGCTGAAAGAACGGGAGTGAGAGAAGACACTAGCAAAGAGTAAAGATGTCCAAGCCTCTCTGGCTGCTGCTTCCTGTCTGGAGGGGGGATGTTTCTGCGGGCTGAAAGACTTCTGGGGAAAAAAAAAAGGTTTTCTTTGGTTACTAGAAGGGAAAAGGAAGCACCAAGATTATTTAGATGTCTTTGGCTCTACAGGTAATGCCCATGTTCTTATTAGTAGCACTGTTCCATCAGGCGATTCAGCAACGAGACCCAATGCTGAGAGCTCACTAATGTCCACGGTGGGGAAGGCTCTCCTGCTATCGTTTGCACTGTGAGGGCCAGCCTGTCTCTGCTCCAAGCAGCTCAGAGATGAGGGAGAAGAAATAGGCAAATTAAGTGCTCTCAGCTCCTACCGCCTTCTTATCTAAAGGAACTGGAAAATGCAGCAGCACACAGATCCACATGGCACAAAATAACCTGCAGCATTCTGCAGTCAAGCAGGAATAGACTGCAAGGGAGAGATCCAGACTGTACGTTCTCAGTAACTTCTGTCCTCGCAGTCTAAGAGCTCACACTGCAGGAGATGGAGCAGGCAGCAAAACGGCCCAGTGTGGCAACAAGCCATTTCATCAGATGTGACTGTTTCCTTGCTTGGCCTCCGCTCCTCTATTTTACAAATCAGTTTGCAAGCCACAGGCTTCTGCTTGCTTTTCTCTTGCATTCACGCATATCAGTTTGCCTCCATACAGCTTCTTGCAATTACTCTGTCATTTTGAGGCCTGAACATCCTAAGTTATTTAGTCCTGCCCTGGGAACTGTGCTAACACTGATTGCCGAATCCACCGTGTAACGCTGAGGTGATGCTCGACCCCCAAACCTGCCATCTTCCCTCTGTGATGCAGCAGAATGCCCGGGAGCCCACAAATACATTATAATCCATAGCTCAGCACTCTGCTCAGCTTTGACTGTAACACGAATGCTCACTGCATTAATAGTTCCCAAACACTGCAGGTTTATGTTACCTACTCAGAATACAGTGTGTGAAACACCTAGGTGCAAATTTCTCCCTTGTATACACTCAATCCAGAGTCTGCATCTCTGGGCTCAATAATAACAAAATGTGTATGCAGAATGAAACTGTTTTATAATAATGAGGGCTAGCCAGAAAATACAACTTCTGTTTTTATGAAAAATTACACTTGTTTTGAAGCCAATGGCTGCTGAAATGTCTAAATAAAACCTAAGAGGAAGCCAACAGCCCAGCAGTCTGGCCTACAACATCCCATATTTTAGTCCATAACTAACTATTACATTTTGTGCCAGTGTTCTGGGGTCTTAATGCATCATAAGGAGACAAAATGGAGCAGCCGTTATTGTTCCTTGTTATTCAAATGAAAACACAGAGCTGCACTGTAAATAACATCTTGATCTGTTTTGGCATGCTGCTGAACTACATTTAATGGCTTTTTATCTTGTCTCATTTATGTTCAAAGTCCCTGCTAATTCTTATCTTTATTACTCTTGAACATGAGCCAAAGTTCATTCTGCCCTGTCTCTCAAAAAAAAATTCCATCAAGAAAAAAACTGTAGAACATTCTGAGTAGCTCTCAAAGAAAATAAAACAAAGGGCGTGAGAAGGAGAAACCTACACAGGCATAGAAGAGGTCATGGAAGGACTCTAGCAAACTGTGTTCATGAGTATGGGCTAATATGCCAGCAAATGACAGCTCAGGAGGGAGGGTAAGAATAAATGGGAAACTCTTTGCTGGACGAGAACAAGGCTATCTCTCATCTTCAGGCAGTTTCAGTTCCAAAAATCATTTCCCTCCGGGGCAGGTAGCAGAGTGGTCCTTCTCACTTGGAGGTGGCTCCTATTGCTGCCACCTCTTAGCTGCTTGTTTCTTCTTCCTTGCCAGACTTTTATCCAATGGGTACTATTGGCTGACTACATCTACTCCCTAAGCACTAGGCACAGTCAGGAAGGAGGTCCCACCAGTCCCTGCCTCCCAGCTTGCAAGGACAATACAGTGGCCTATACTGGTGAGGGAGCACATACCACAGCAGCTCCTTTCAGAAGTGCTTTCCGCTTGGGGACTTTGGTGTTACTCTTTTTGCTGTGCCCAGAGAGGTTACAAACAAAAATGCCATTCCTCTTCCTTACCAGCAGCGGGAGAGCGCTGATGTACTTTGAGAAAGCAGGTAATTCCCAACATCCACACTACAAACCTCCATTAGCAGAGAGACTCTCTTCACCTCCATTACACTGAAAATCTCAGTGCATGTCTGGCTGTCACAGAGCCCAAATTACAGCCAGAAAGTGCACAGAGCCTCAAAGAGCAAAGCAATAGCACAGATTTCCTCAGTAAAGCACTCTCCTTCCTTGTAAACTCCTTCAGTCACAATCCAGTATGAACAAGAAATTACAAGTTTTGCTGCAGGAGGTTATGGATTTACTATGACTAGTCACTTACAAGCGAGAGGAAGGGAAAAGGATGTCTGATTTGTTATTTACACTATTGCAAGCACTTCTGACAGTTGCGATCTTACTCTCCTCGTCTTAAATATCACTTAGCCCTTTTCCTCTACTTCTGGTCAATGAAACAAGTAGCTATTAATTTCAGCAGTTATATTCCACAACCATTCCAAGCCGTTACCTTCCAATATGGGAGACCAGCACCCTTTTTCTCTCTTCCTCTCTTCATCTCCAATAGATCCTTCTGTGTTTGTTTGCTTTGTCAAATCAATTTTTCATATTTATACCCTTCTGCATTTATGTACCAGACCTGGCTGCCATATCTGGGCAGGGTGGTGGTTCATGTTAAGAACTTCTTATTGCTTTGCTTTCTGCACTCTTTGAGTGCTCCCAAATTCTGTTCTCTGGAAAGCCAACTGAATACACAACTGATGTCTTTAAACAAGCTCTGCAGAAGCGTTTAGGATAGTACAGCCATATGTAAACAGGAAGTTTCCAGGACCGGATGGCACTTTTCTCCCATCATTTTGGATCAACATGCATTTTAGTGCCCACCCAAGACCCTCCATCATCCCATAAGATAAAGATGGAGAAGTAGCCAACCTAGTGATTTTACTGCCTGCTGTCATAGAAATGCCAGAAAATCTCCTGAAACAAAAAGGGGACTGTTATGTTCAATGAGCCTCCCTAAGTGACATGCACAATTCAAAGCACTTGGGGCTTTCACAGCAGAGGTTGTCATGACACGTATTACATGTTGAAAACACTTAATATATCACCTAATGCTTTGACCTTTGTTTCTTTGTAAAAACTGAACTGATGCACTTCCCAGGACTCTAAAATTCTGTCTCTGGC